AGGGGACACTGCTTCTGTTAAAAATTTCTGAGAAAATTCGGGAACAGCTAATGATCATAGTTGAATAACATGATGAACATAATTAATGTCACTGAATGGTATATAAGATTGTAGAAATGGCAAATGTTTTGTTACTTGTATATTTACCACAATAAAAGAAATAAGTAATAAAACTAATAAATGTTTAAAAAAAAAAATGTTGGACTCAGAATCTGAGAACTCCCGGTGTGGCCCTGCCACTAATTAGTTATGGGAAAGTCACTTAATATCCTTGAGCCCCAGTGGCCTCAGCTATAACAATCCACCTGCCAGGATTACTACCAGGTGCAAATAAATTAATATGCACATAAAGTCCACTTTGTAAACTGTACAACACTACAGGAATGAAAAGAGTGGTTCTCACTGATCACACACATTATGTCACTTGATTTGACCCCCAAAACAGGCTATGGAGCTGGTGAACTATCGCCACCATTTTACAAAAAGAGAAAGCAAAGCTCCAAGCGGTTCAACGGCTTGCCCAAAGTTGAAGGACAAGCAACAGAACTAGTAAGTACAGAAGCTGGGACATGAACCTAAGTCAGAAGATGCCAAAGTGTGAGCTTTTTCTGTAGTTAGGAATATTATTACAGAGGCAGAATTCAAGCTGGGTCTGGAAGGAAGAGTAGAATTTTTATGGCTAGAGGGAGAGGGGGATTCACCCATGACTCACCCACGAGTCAATTCCTAGATACTAAGAACCTATATAAAACCCTTTCAGGTTTGGACCAAGGCAAGCACTGAGCCCCTGTATATTTAAAAAGAATACTGAGCATTTTTCCCACATTAAAATCTTTGCCCATAATACCCTTCTCAGTGCAGTGCAAAGCAAAGCTGAGAGGAGGCTAGATAGGAGATGATATTTTACTGTTTGCTCCTAATCTCACTGCTGCTAGAATCATTAAGCCTTTGAAAGGCAGGGATAGGAACGAACGCTTTGTGGATTTGGAAGGAATTCCTATTATGCTAAAATTCCAGAATCTGAGATACATCTGAAAAAGAAGTCAGAATTACTAGGTTTTTCCATATCTCCTGCCACAGAAAGGTGTCTGCTTTCTCTATAACGTCTGAGGTTTGCAACTCTAAGCAGCACTGGTCTCCTCCATGGGCATTCCATATCTTTGCTGTGAGGCCTATTCATACTGGAGTGTGGGCATCCAAATCAGTCAAGACTGCTCTTGTTGTTTTAAACAAACCTGACATTCGGCAGGAGAAGGTCCGGGCAGCAAGTAGTAGGATGATTAGATTTCCAGTTCTGGGCCCCCCTGCACCCTCCAAGACTGTCACTCACGCCCTCTGATCAGAAGCAGATTCTGGATGGAGGCGCCAAGTTCGTATGGCAAGTCATAATGGGAAAGTGAGATATATGGGTGTTTTGTTGTTGTTTTTTAATTTAAATTGTATAGCTTTTCCAGAATTGAGTATACCACGTATAAGATGAATGTATTTACTTTGCCTCGGTCTTTGCCTCTACTTTTCTCCATGAGTGCTCTCAGTACTCAATGGCAGGTAAACGGGTTAGTAGACCTCACTAGGCACCCACATCTCACATGTGTCTCCAGCTGAAAGGCAACAGCAGCTGGATCAGGAGGCAAAAGTCCTCCTGTAAAAAGCACTGGCATGAGAGTCAAGAGAACTGGGTTCTAATTAGTTAATTATAAGGAATGAACCAGAGATATGCGTCCAAAGACTGGGGTTCCTTTCCTGACTCTACTGTTGCCAGTTAAAAGGTCTTAGCTAAGTATAAGGTGGTGCAAATAGTTAATGCTCTCAACTGCTAATCAAAAGGTCAGTGGTTCCTGTCCATCCAGCGGCACCTTGGAAGAAAGACCTGGCAATCTACTTCTGAAAAATCAGCCACTGTAAACCCTATGGAGCACAGTTCTACTCTGACACACATGGAGCCACCACGAATTAGAACAGACTTGATGGCAACTTTTTTTTTTTTAATTTAAGTCACTTCACCAACATTTGTCTCTGTTTATGCATTTAAAATAAAAATAACTAACATTTACTGAGTATGTTGTATGTGTCAGGCACTGAACTACTTTCTGTATAAAAGTTCATTTCATTCTCAAAAGCTTCACAAGGAGCAATATTTATCTCTGTCTAACAGCTAAGTCTACTAAGAAGGTTCAGAGGTTAATTAACTTGCCACATGGTCCACAGCTAGTGAGCAGAGGAGCTCAGATCCAAACCAGAGTTCGTGTCCTAACCTCCATGCTAAACGAAGAACCGTAAGAACGCCCAGCTCTCGGGGTTTCTGTGAGAGCGAAATGCGACCCACAGCCCCATGCTTCTATGGCACGCAGTAGCACTTGACAAAGGATAACAATTATTGTGGGATTTTCATGCATGGTCTTTCTCTGAACCATAGGAAAGCACTATCCAAGCCTATTTGCTGACATTGTACGGGATGAGGAAGCAAAGCTGTTTCTCCTTCCAGCTCATTCTGCAACCAAGGCCACACGGCAGGACTGTTTCAAGGAAATGCTGGGAGGTCAGGGAGCATTTTAATTAAAACATCAACATGTCATAAGGAGAGGGGTAAGCCACAACTAAGCTCTTAAAGGCAAATTTTTTCTCAGAAATGCTGGAATGTCATGAGGAGGAAGGGACTGGCCTTGGCAAACAGCAGGGGACGAGCTGCTGACCAGGATATTTGCCTGGGGAAAGAAGGACAGAAGAGAAGCACGGCTCTCAAAGAAGCTACTTTAGCACTTTCCTTTGCCCATTCTGGGGTCAGGTCAGAAAACCAGAACTGCTCCTTCTAGAAGACTCCGCCTTCCATCTAGCCCACCACTACAAAGTGTGTTCCTATACATTATTGCATTTGAGTCTTCTAGCAATCCCATGAGTAGAATCCAGATATCATTCTTATTTTATAGGTGAGGAAAATGAGGTTTAGAGAAGACCAGTGATTTGCCTAATTCACACAGCTAGTCAGTGCAAAGGTCCGAACAGTATTTCTTTTCACCACATCATGCCTGGAAGCAGCCCGCTAGGCAAACCGGGAATAAGCCCATGTAGATAGCGTGAAGAGCACATGATATTCCTGTCCCTGTGCTATCTTTCTCTCTCCCGACTCCTGTGTTAGTTATAATGGGCTTCCTAAAAGCATTCAGTTAACTGATCCTCCAAGTGTCAAAAACACCTGTTTAAACCTTAGTACAAAAAGATACTTTGCAATTATTTGCCTTCCATTAGAAATGCCTTTTCTAGAAAAAGCCATTCTTCTAGAGAACTCAGCCCCACAACTATCAGCTTGGAGCAAATAGTAAAATTAGGTTTTTTATTTTTCAGTTTTTGAACACAAAGATCCTTAGTCCACCTTTGAGAAACCAGTACAGCTGCCGAAATGGACTGTTTTTCTTTCAAAGGTTGGAAAGAATTCTACTAGCCTCCCTTCCCCCTCCCCAATTTCAAACTGTTGATTGTGTGGCTGGTTTACGATGTTATTAAAACACAAAGAGGGGTCTCAACATTTACAACCAGACCCCAGAGTGGAGAAGTCAAAAGAAAAGCTTCATGAAATGTGGTTCACGTAACATCAGCAGCTTACATTTGATCTGGAGTAGGCAAGATAAGCTAACTGTCGATCCCCTTGAACAGTTCATTAGCCATCCCCAACCTGGAATCAAGTCTGCAAGATGGAAAGGAGGCTTTGAAATAAGCCAGGTATGGCACTCTTGAACCCCAGTTTCACAAGTTACCAGCTGTAGATTTTGAGCATGTCATTCAACTTCTTTGAGCTTTTTTTTCCATATGTGTAACGGGATAACAGTACTTCACATTTAGTTTTAATATTAACCTTCTTCTTTCTGACTTGCTAATATACACCAGAGATAACTGTCCAGGTCATGCTGAATAGAAAAGTGACTCAAGGACCTATGAGAGAGAGTTTCTGATCCTGGTAGATATGACATCTATCCCTCTCACTCAATGGCTGGAGTTCAAGGGCAAAGAACAAACAGAAAATACTGCAGGTGAGAAATGGACAGGTGAGAAAATGTAAGACTCACAAATTACAAGACTAGATTTCCATAAGCACCGACCTTTCCCAAATAGACATATCCCGAACAAGGTGGTATCTTCTAAGTAAGGCCCACGTAGGCCATACCCCAATTCCTGTGGGGTTACCACTGCTCAAAACAGTTGTAGACTCTATCAAAGAGTCAGTAGCACATTTTTCCAATACACTCAATGAGGACTTCACCGCTGAAGGGAAGACCTCAGTGTAAGTTTGAACCTTACAACTATATATGAGTAGCCTGCAAAGTATTTCAACAGCCATGACCTCTTTTGCTCCTCATTCAGTGCTATGAAGAAAGATAGTCCTCCTTGTTTTTAAAGATGTACAGCTGTAAGCGCCAAGGCCAGGTCTAGAACCTAGGTCTCTGGATTCTAAGCCCTAATTGCTTTTCACCGTGACATCATGGCCACTGGGCAAGAGATGGAAATAATATGCCAGAGAACATCAGTGGATTATCCCTGGTACAGCAGCACAGTGATGGTGTGGACAGAACACTGACAATGCCTGTGATTGCTGGCAAGGCATCGCCCTCTCTGGAGCTCAGAGCTTAGACTCTGGGGAAAGCGACAACGAGCTTCAAACCCCAACTCTACTACTTATTAACCAAGTGACCTTGGGCTAATCATTTTTACTCTGTGAATCTCAGCTTCTTAATCTGTAGAAGAAAGATAATAACCGTATCTATAGTTTATGGGATTGTTGTGAGGATAATGCATGAAAAATATTTTGGAAGGATGCTTGGCATATATTAATGCATTGTAAATGTTGGTTTTGGTAATAGTATTAATTGCATGAAATGAATTGTGTTAATCAAATGGCATTCTGAATCCTTTACCTGTAGGAGTCAGTGCTGACACAGATATTCTGAAACATCACGATACAAGGGGAAGTCAGATAGGATCGAGTATGACCCCGTCTGGGCGCTTACCGCAAGGATGGCAATGACGATCCCCACGGCGCAGAGCACAGCGTCATTAATTGTCTCGCCAGTTTTCAGCGGATACTTAATGCTCTCATCATTGCAGTAAAACCCTCGTTGGTAAGGCTGGATGGCGCTTGACTCGATGATGAGGAAGGGCAGGCCCGCTGGTCAGGGTAGAGCCATTACATGTAAGAGAAAGAAATAACGAAGAGGGAGAAGATCAGTGCAAGGAGGCCAAGGACCACCCTGCATCACAATATTGATAGCAATATTAACTCCTCTCGTTTATAGCAATCTACAGCCTATGGAGAGCTTTCACTACACTCATCCCCTTTATTCCTTTCCTCACCCCTAGAAGGAGAGTGGAGCCCTGGTGGCGCAATAGTTAAGCACTTGGCTGCTAACCAAAAGGTCAGTGGTTTGAACCCACCAGCGGCTCCATGGAAGAAAAGACCTGGCAATCTGCTCCTGTAGAGATTACAGCTTTGGAAACCCTATGGGGCAGTTCTATTCTGTCCTATAGGGTCTCTGTGAATCGGAATCGACTCAACAGAACACAACAACAACGAAAGGAGAGTAGCAGTATCCTTTTTTACAGGTGGGAGGGAGCCTGAGGGTTAGCAAGGTGCAATGTCTTGCTCAAGAGCATGCAGGAGCTTTTCCCCTGTTCTGCAACACCCTGCTAAAGTCCAATTCATAATCATTACCAATGTATACCCCAATTTAATGACATCCATTATCCATTCCTCCAAATGCATTCATTTCATAGTGGGCAGACCCCTTGTCTTAGTAAAGTCCCCTTTGAGAAGCTCACCCCAAGGCTCTGCTGCCTGCAGTAGTGAAGGCCTTGGAGTTAGATAGCCAGATTGCGAATTCCAGATCCACCACCTCCTAGCGTTGTGACCTCTGGTTCCCACTTCACCTCTCTGAGTCTCAGTTTCCCCAAATGTAAAGTAAGTCGCAGTGACAACTAAAGGAGATTAAAACATGTACAGCCTTTAACACAATGCAGGTCACATAGTAACTGTTCGATGAATGCCATTTTATCCATCCTTTTCTTTTACCGTCCAAAGACTATAAACAAGGTGAAACAGAACTGAGTTTGGCCCTGCTGCCTGGAGAACTGGATGGAGCCCAAGGGCACCTGGGAGCACCAGGCAGCTCTTGCAGCTGTTGCTGGTTATCAGTGGCCAGCTCAGATGCCATTCTCTCAAAGGTCACAGCAAATACATTCCAGCACTTGCCAGGAAACCCTTAAGTGAAAGGCAAAGGCCCACTATCTCTCTGGCCTCCACTACTGCAACAGCCTCCTAATCAAGGTCTCCTGGCCTCCACTGCCTCTTACACACATCCACCAGTTTACATCCTGAAGGGCTCGGGCCACGATCACGCCATTGCCTTATTAGAACCTCTTCAACGGCTCCCCGTTGCCCAGGGTAAGACAAAGTCCCTAAATATGGCCTCCCGAGTTCCCTATGTTGTAATCCTCTCCTCTCCAGCTTCATGGTTTGCTGTCCCCCTCACACCCCCTCCAAGAAAGCAGTACACAGAGGCTCTGCCTTGGTTCACATCATTCTCTTAGACTGTAATACACCTTCCTCCTCTACTCTCCAGGTTCAAGGCCAAGCTCCAATGCCACTATACACAGTAAAAGATGGAACACTGAATCTCTGGGTTTGAAAGAACATAAAACATTTCTTGGTAATAATCATAAACCTAAACTCACTGCCACTGAGTCGATTCCTATTCATAGCAACCCTATAGGACAGAGTAGAACTGCCCCATAGGGTTTCCGAGACTGTAAATCTTTAAGGAAGCAGACTGCCAAATGTTTTTCCCATGGAGCAGCTGGTGGGTTCAAAGCGCCGACCTTTCGGTTAGCAGCCAAGCATTTAACAACTGCTTCACCAGGGCTCCTTCAGGTAATAATAATCACCATTGATT